AACTAAAATAATGAGCAACAAAAAGAATCAAACAAAACATATAGAGAACTAAAAACAATAAGAAAAACACCCCACAAGGGTAAAAGGTCCAAATAGCAAAGATCTATTCCACCATCAACTTGGAGAGCATAGCAGACCAGAAGAAAAGCCAACAAATGAATAGAGGGAGAAAACCTCAGTAAACAAGCACCACACCGAAAATTGCCAGGCAGGGGCAAAATGGTCAAGAAGCCAATAAAACCCACCAACATCTAGAATGCAATCAGCAACCAGGATCACAAATAGAACCAGAGAAGATCAAGAAAGTATGCCAGCAACTCCAAAAGAAACCACCACACAGATGCAAGACAAAACCAGGGGTAAAAATTGTCAAAGGGATGAACTCATCTCAACAACACAACATTTTTATAATCATGTTGTCCGGTAATGTGATCATAGCTGGTTTTTGCAAGTTTGAAAAAGACTCGGTTATTTGAATGAAACCGGTCCATATTTAATCTTTATATGACCCGGTTTGGGGATTGGAATCGGGCTCTTTTAGCCATATATGACCCAGTTTTGAATGGTTGGACCGTGTCCTAATCTTCGTATGTGATCAAATGTTGTGCGTTATATTCCTCATATATGTCCCGGTTTTATGAATTATTCCACATTCAAGGCTACTATTATTATTGATTTTTTTATCTACTTATTTATTTAACAAACGGGATGTTACACATATTTACTATGTACTACCTAAAGTTGTAAAAAACACACGACATTAGCTAGTCGGTGGACTGAGGTTAAGGGGTTAATCGACTAGGTTGAGATTAATTGAGGGATTCATCGAGGATCCTAAATCGCTAACTTGTTGAATTTAGAAATAATTAAAGATGACTAATTTCGTAACAAAGTTCGTAAATACCACTAATATCATAACAAATAGGTTAGTATGATTAATACAACACTAGTCATTCCTCAAATAGTTTCTGTTGACATAGAACTTCTTCAAAATGTTAAAATTTCATCGTTTGCTATTTTTTTTTTGGAAAGGGAACTTCCCTAATGAGGGTTTCCGGGCCAGCTTTCGCGCACCGACTAATCCCCCGCTGCAAACATAAAGCTTTGCCTCATGCCCTGGAGTCACTGCAGGCGAACCTCCATGGCCACAAGGGCTGAGTGGTGCCAGAATTTGAACATGGGTCAATAGGTTATCCACCATATCTTCCACATGCCTTACCAAGTCACCACAACCCAAGTGGTTTCGTTTGCTATTGCTTCGCTCATTGTGTAGGCATAGATTAGTATCTAGGGGTCTTCTAGTCGGCTGGGTAACGCCTACGGACTAATTGGAGATTCAGAACCTATTCGAGATTTAACAACAATACTACTACCTTTTTCAAACAAGAATTGATTTTTATTTCCCATTCTTTGTTTGTTAGGTTTGACATACCAAACACAACCCATCGACTTACTTCATCATGGTTTGGATACTGCCAATCCTCACAACTGCTGGTGCGAAATAAGTTAGCAACATCTACTAACCATTACCTACTTGCTGTCGCTTTTTCTCCTCGTAGTAGTCAAGAGCCTCACATGCCCGAAACTCCATGAAGGTCAATGAATGCGCCCCTACAAAGGTCACCATCTCAGAATGGAAAGAGCCCAAACGCTCCTCCAACAACTCCACCATACCCTACTTGATCGTACCGAAGATCACAGGAGTCTACTCGAGAATGCAAGGCATAATCTCAGACGTAATAAGCTCCTGTGTTTGATCATCCAACTGCCCGACTCCAAAACCTGGGCCTTGAGCCCTCACTAGCACCAGAAATACCAACCGGTCTTCCTCGAAGAGTCACCATACTGAAAATAGACCATACAAACCATCATAATACACATACACACACACACACACACACATATATATATATATATATATATATATATATATATATATATATATTGTTGAGTGATCTTATACTCCACAAGCTTCCTGGTTTCATCGCAGCTCTCCTTGACTCGAGTACGGATTCTCTGCTTTTGTTACTATGGTCCCATACTGCCTTGCACATCTATCTGTACTTTCCTCAAGGTTTTCCTTGAATCCGCCAGGTCACTCTTTATACATACTATTAACTCTCATCAAGATAAGGTTCCTGGCACTAAATCTCTTGCTAGGTTTTCCTAGGACAACCACCACACCACTCTCTGCCATCAGCAGCAGAAGGGACTCCTACCTGCACCCTCTAACATGCTCACGAATACAATTACATATCACTGACAACAAATAATTCTTCGAATGAAAGGTCTCACACTACAACGATTGGAGTCAAACAAGAGCTGCCCAATAGAGTTAAAACCTAACCTTGTAAAATTATTTAGTTTTCGCCATATGTAACTTTACATATTCGCTTACTAGTTAGCTAATGTTAGTGAGAACTCCTAAAAAGCACAAAGCAAGCAACATTTGAGCATCGAGTAATCAGAACCAAGCATAACCTAATCAAGCCATCATATCACGTATTGATCAGTACTGGTCTACATGCTCATACAATAAGCATACAAAAGCACCTCTCCTAGAATTCTATCATGCAAACACTAAGCATATCATTAGCCCTAACTAGCATGCGATTCACAGATTCACAAATCAAATCATATTAGATAACATGTATGAGTATTTTGGGAAAACTTACTTGAGCTTAGTCGATTGTATGCACCACACCCTTACTTGTATATGTAAATCCTTTTCTTTAAAAATATTTCCCTTTTTTTTTGAATTTTTTTAACAAATCCTCAGTTTGAGTACAGACACACCCGAGAATATGTCCGAATCCCTCAAACTAAGACTCTGATATCAATTTGTAACGTCCCAAAAATAAAACCCAAAAATATTATTTTTAAAATTAGTAAAATGGTAATCCAAAACATTGTCATACAGCCAAGATGAAGTGAGATGGTGTGTGCTCTGCAATCATCGCAGACTCTTACAATTTGAACCAAAAGTACCTGAAATATAAACCGAAAACCGTAAGCACAAATATTAGTGAATTCACCAAAATACCATATACCATACGTAATAAACATATATTGGGCCTCTGCCCTTAATTGGGCCCCGTCTAACATCGATCGATCTGGTGTCAAATAGGTGTAGAGGCATTAACATTCACCGACTTATATGGAGGATCGCCCAAATATGACCATCTTACGATTAATAATAATATCTTGTTTTTCAAGGTTCAACTTCTCCCCCGCCCCAACAAAATTTAGTTGTTTATATGTTCGTCTATGCTTTTGAAGAGTTTGGTGTCTTTAAGTAGGTTCTCGAAACCTTTAAATGCAAAGGCTTATAAACAATTTGCCACGGTATCATACTTGTTTAGGCATGAATTGCGGGTGGATGCACCAGAAAAACGAAACATAAACTAGCCTAAAACGGACACTTAGACAAAATAAAGTGATTGAAAACTGAATATGGAATTTGCCTGTGAGTATTATAAGAATAAGACACGATACCGTGAAAACAATTTTCTAATCAATGACGTCCATTCTAACTTTTTCATTTCTTCTAACAAAACTTTTGCCAAGTCTTCGAATTAAAGTCCTCCATATCATTAGCCTAATATTAAATATCATAGCTTTAATCAAACCTCAACAGTCTGCATGCATGCCGTGGCTCAAACTATATGAGAAAAAAAACTGGAAGCACATATCTTTCCTTGACTTTTATTCCTTCGTTGACTTTTGACTCAGATGGTATTATTGACATCTTCAGAACTTGTAATTATAAAAGTAATAGCTCATCCTTAACAAGAAGCACATATCTGAAGTACGTATTCCTGAACATTCAACAAAAAGTTAAACAATTTACATTACCTGAAAACAATTTCATATTATCTATGCGGCAGTTTTCTTTTTGAATCGGAATCGATATATTATAACGAAATCAATTGCATCTTAGATTCTATTTGACTATTCCATTAGAAAACAGATTGCCAGGTCATATTTTACTATTTCAGCTCAATATGCTTAGATCAGCAATTAAGGATGTTGCTGTGTTTTGTGGATGCTTATTGAGTTATTTCAATTTAGCTTTACAAACACATACATACATACATAAATGCATGCGTACATACATATATAACTTAAGTTTAGGATAACATAATTTGCTTTTAATTAACACGTACGCCACTTATGATCTTATTGAATTTCATTTAATTAAAACCTTTTTAGAATTCAAATCACCAAGGTCCTTCTAGGGTCGGTTTTTCTAACTCCATTTGAGTTCCCATTAAATATAAATTATAACCCGATATGAAGTCATCATCCTCTCTATTCTTTATAAATTAATAAGAAAATGCCATATATAGATCTGAGTCACCAAATTATCGTATATTTTGTAATTAGTGTTTTCATTATTTCCTCCGTTGACTTTTGATTCAAAGGGTATTATTGAAATTTTCGAACTTGTAATTACTTATGAATGGTGAGCACATATCTTAAACACTTTTGAAAATTGAATGAGTATATTTGACGAGATTAATACCTAAAAACTTTACTATCCAGACCGCAGTTTTCTTGTTGAAAACATGAAATGGAATCTACGTTAACTAATCAAGTGTATCATAGATATATAGAGAGCGGAATTGACTATTCCATTAGGAATCAGAATGTGAGGTCGCAATTTACCATTTCAACTCAATGTGTTTAATTAGGTCAGCATTGACTAAAGAATTTTGTTTTGTGAATCGTTATGTGAATTTAGTTTAAACACAGAGACACACACAGCATATAGTATAATGTAAAATACAGGATAATTTATTTAGCTTTTAGTTTGAAGACGCCACTTATGATGGGAATCAATTTCCATTTAAAACCTTAATTTTGATAAATTCTAATCAGCAAGCTGCTTCTAGGTTTTTTCTAACCCCATTTGAATTCACCATTTTTATATATATCCCGTTTTTGAAGTCAAGTGTATTATGCCCTATATATAGTCTTTATAAATAAGACACTGAGCAATGATATTGAAACCCACCAAATTAATTAACATGAAGAAGTCTGAAATAATTAGCTCCTGTGTCTTCCTTGTGGTTCTTTGTCTTTCCTTTTCTAACTCATGGGCAAACTTATCTTCCCTTGTTGATGTTACACCAGGTACGGAAAATTTCATTAGTTGCATACAGCCCAAATCCAACAATGTCACCTCCTTCTCTCAGCAGCTCATTTTCACACCTGTCAATGCTTCTTTCATTCCCATTTGGCAAGTCGCAGTGCAAAACACGAGGTTCCTTAAACCCTCGACTCCTAAACCATCAATCATCGTGACACCTGTGGATGAAACACTTGTCCAAAAGGCTCTATTCTGCGCAAAGAAACATGGGTACGAGATGAGGATCAGGAGTGGGGGCCATGACTATGAAGGCCTATCATACACTGCTGATGTTCCCTTTGTTATGCTTGATTTCACCAACATGAGGTCTGTAGACGTGGACGTAGCTAACAGGACCGCATGGGTCCAGCCAGGTGCTGTGCTTGGTGAACTCTATTACAGTATTTCTCAGAAGACCGACACCTTGTATTTCCCGGCAGGTGTTTGCCCCACGGTGGGTGTTGGCGGGTACATGGGCGGTGGTGGCTACGGAAACCTACTCAGGAAATATGGTACTGCTGCTGATAATGTTGTGGACGTTCGCTTCATGGATGTCAATGGAAATATTCTTGACAGGAAGTCCATGGGTAAGGATTTGTTTTGGGCAATACGAGGAGGTGGTGCTTCCAGTTTTGGAATCGTTCTCGCATGGAAGCTCAGGTTGGTTCCGGTTCCAGAAAAAGTAACTGTATTCGTACTGAATAAAACTTTGGAACAAGGGGCAACCAAAATTTTCCATAAATATCAATACGTTGCGCCAACTATCGATAGAAATCTACACATAAGAACTCAGGTGTTTGCCGAATATATCGGCAACACCACCAAGAAAACCATACGGATTATGTTCGAAGGAATTTATCAGGGCACAAGGGACACATTGCTTCCGTTGCTGGACCAAAAATTTCCTGAGCTCGGTGTTAGACGAGAGATTTGTGAAGAAATTAGAAGCATCCAATCGACCGTTGTGTTTTGGGGCCTGCCAAGCTCCACCCCAATTGAGATCCTCACGAACCGGTCTGCTATAGCCAAGCTGAACAATAAAAGCAAATCAGACTATGTCCGGACACCAATTCCCATACGCGGCCTAAGAAAGATATGGAGAAAGCTCATGCAAAACGACGGATCGGCACTTCTCATGATCAATCCTTTTGGCGGAAGGATGGCTGATTACTCAGAGTCAGCAATTCCATATCCTCATAGAGCTGGGGTGTTGTTACAGATTCTCAAGACTGTTAATTTTAACGGTCAAACTTCAGACACGACCCCTACATCCCTCAAGAGAATAATGTGGCTTCGAAGCTTGGACGAGTTATTGACGCCTTATGTCTCAAAGAACCCAAGAGAAGCATATTCCAACTACAACGATCTAGATTTGGGTGTTGGAAGTTCTAATTATGAAGAAGCCAGTCTTTGGGGTGAGAGGTACTGGAAAAGGGACAATTTTCGGAAGTTGATCCGAATCAAGGCCAAAGTTGATCCAGATAATTTCTTCCGGCGTCCACAAAGTATCCCTGTTTTCTAACACCTCTCTCTCTACACGCGACACCCTTTTCTTGAATAAGGATCGAAATTAGGGTCTTACTTCTTTTGTTTTATTAATAAACTACCAATAAGTTTAACGTACTCATATCGCTCTGTTTTAAAAAATATCTAAAATTAATTGTTAAATGATTCTAATTTATATATGAATTTGTTATGATTGATTCTAATCGATGCATTGTTTGGTTATTATATTTCTTGGTTATACTTTGTGCTGATGAATAAATATGATATGATTTATTCTTAAGACGTCTTCGATAATTTCTAATTTTGGCTTGGGTTTAAGTTGGATGATGGAAACTATCCTACGTTGGAACTCGTATGGTTGATAAAAACTTATTGTATAAGTACTTGTTGGTGTAATTGTATATTGTATGGAGCATATCATAAGGGAACTACATATATGTAATGTTATTTGAGCGGTCAAGAAATGACGAATATTAGTGTAGTTCTTTGTCCGGTCGCAATACCTTGTTGCTAGCCGCTCCAAGTACAACAACATACTCAAAACCTTGTTTCTAGAAGCTCCAGGTACAATTACATACTCAAGAACTTGGGGTTAAGAATGGGGATGAATAGTTATACGGTATATGACCATTTGTTGGCAGCGTTGTGAATGTCACACGTTGGTCGTTATGCAGATGCTCGACTGGGTATTTTTATCAGAACCCTTGAACAATGGATACAACGGACGATCTTTGTTGTGTCTTTCAGTATTGCATTTCATAATATCTATATTGTATTATAAAATTTAAGTAGATTGCTATTGTTTGAAATTTTCCCAAGAAAACAGAGTGTATATTAAATATGGACGTGAAAGTAGGCTCTTATTGTTTTCACTTTCCTTGACCACTAGTTTAAATTGATTGTTAATAACAATATTGTTGATCATAAATATTTTGAGGCTTGGTATTATCATTCGTTGTTACTAAGTAGTTGTTAACCGCTATACCACATCATCTATCCCTCTCCACCTTACTCTTAGATCACCACAGCCGAGCTCCTCCTCCTCTCCTTCGGTTCTGTACTGCCGGCGACGAGGCGTAGACCCAAAAGGGACTCGCCGGAAATCGGTTGTCCTATTCCATCACTTCCCGCCGATGTACACCCCTCTCTCCCTCATCAGTTGAGCCTCCATCGACTTCGTTCACTGCTATGCGTTTGTATCCCATTTACTCCGTATACCCGATCAAAACGAAAGAATTGGGATAAAAGCCCCAACTATTTTGTTTTATGGATCGGTATGGAGCTTCAACAAATAAAACGGGTATCCGATTTTGACCAGGTCAAAGTCAAACAGGGAGTTAAACTTGAGTTTAATTTATTCAAAATTTACCCTCATTTGAAAACTCACAGACACATATAATAGAAACTTGAGTTTAATTTATTCAAAAATTACCCTTATTTATAATAACTGTAATCATAACTAAATGCTACTTATACTCACAATATTTGTTTCTTCTCAAAACCAATTCATCATATTTTGACACAAATAATAAAAGGTAAATGACTATAAACAACCAGTATTAACTTGTTTTTTTTTCTTGCATTAACTAAGTACAACTAGTACAAAACCGCCTTATGGACACACAAATATTTAGTGTGACCATATGTATCAACTTTTAGCTACTTTGTTTGTTATGCATCTAAAAAGGTACCAGGTTATATACACACATACAACTGTCTAATGTCACAATATGTTTATCTACTGTCTCTAATAAAAAAAAAAAGTATGACAATCTTAATTGATACATGTGGCTGATTGTGACCTATGGCTTCAATGTTCGAGTGTGACTAATATTTGTCACATTTTGTATAATTAAGTGTGGCTAAAGTTTTGATTATCTATATAATGGTCACACAAACTAATTTAAATGTATCCAAAAACAGTTTGTAAATTTTTTTCATGACCTTTGGCCACACTTTTAATAAAAAGTGTGACAGACCGTTTTTCGGAAAGTTTGATCGTAGGTCATTTTCGTATTAGTGTCTCAGCATTGGGAAGGTGATGTCGTGTTGGTTCTCAGACCCATCATTAACACCTTTTATATATGAGCTTTTTTTCGTCGCCACCATGGCTAGCATTGTCATCAGACTAGATTGGTACCCATTTAGATGCCCATATTATCTCAACACCCATTTTTGATCAGTCCAGCTCGTTACCACCAACCTTCAAACCAATTTTGGTTTGACGCTCGATTTCTTCTTCCCTCGTTTTCTTCAACAGTATACACAGACACTAGCACACATTAAGTTAGGTATATAAGAAATAAATGAGAGAGTCAAGAGGATTGGGGGTATGGGTAGGGTGGGGGTTCTTTTTAATCTTTTTTTTTTTTGGTGAAACTTAGTTAAAGAAAAAATAAAAGATATTAAAAGGGTAAAAATGTCATTTTATATTCCTCCGGGACCAACAATGCAAGTTTTGCAAACCAAAGGGCCCATACGCGTTACATAGGAATTAAAATTGCAAATATGAAAAACCATGGGACCATTTATGTAATTTTGTCTAATAATTATTAATAAACAACAAAAACAAAAACACGCAAGAAAAAAAAGCCAAAATAAAAACAACAAAAAAATAAATAAATTATGTCAAATCAAAATGAGTTTAAACACAACAAAAAATAAAAAATAAAAACACAATGAAGAATTTTATGTAAAAAATATAGATACAACAACACCATAATTAATTATATATGTTTATGGAAAGGTATGCAAATATATATATATATATATATATATATATATATATATATATATATATATATATATATATATGGAAAGTGAATATACCTAACAACCTTATATAAGCTTAGGTACCTAACCACATTATACTACATTGTTTTGCATTATATTTTCATTGCAATTGTGTAACATTCTTAAACTTCAACCCTTAACTTGATTCACTTCCAAGATTTTCAGACATTCACTATTATATTCCTCCTACACCATTTGATTTGTAACGGTAGTATATAAAGCCCACCAGGGGGTCTCCGATAGAAAGACGTCATTTGAAGGAAGATAACGGTGAAAGTCCAAAGATTTTGGAAGCAATCAAGTTATGAGGTAGAATTTTAAGAACTTTGCGTGATTACAATGCAAATATGATACAAAATTACGTAGTATGGTGTGGTTAGGTACCTAAGCTTATATAAGGTTGTTAGGTATATTCACTTTTCCCATATATATATATATCCCCTATCCTAATAAATAAGTAGAATTTGTCCACGTGTCAATCTCCTAGCAGCCCAAAATTGTGTTTTCCCGCTTCTTTTCATCATCTACATTTACGTCCATATCATATTCATATATATTCACAATAAATCCGAAAAATCTACATCAATAAATCAAAATAAGATGCACAAATCGTAATTTAAAATTTCAAATTCCTTCATATCCAATCTAATAAAATATGGAAGTTTGTTTATTATAATGGGAAGCTAATTATTATCCAGTCAATAAATCCCAAAAAATCTGCACAAAATAAAATCATACCGAAATATATACCACTATTCATTCTTTACGCTTATATTTTCTTCACCATTCTGCTTCAGAGAACTCATTACAAATGGTATTAAATCCTTCCTCTCTGTACCGGTTATAATTTCTTCATTTTATGATCGTTTGCTGCATATTCATCCTCCAGGACAAGAACAATTACAAAAGGTTAGCAGTCTGAATTCATGCATTTATAAAAATTCGATAGCTGCATATATTGTTCATAGTTTTGATGTTTATGTACTTAATTCTTCCACTTTAACAAATGTACATGTATTTTTTTGGTCAGATAACATTATATTTGAAGAAATGCCAATATTTTTTTTACTTATTACTTTACAAAAATGTCAATATTTTTTTACAAAAAATTTTATACGGATCAATATTTTATTATTTCATTAATGGATTATTAAAAAAAAATAAAATAAAATAAAAAAAAACATTTGCCACTACTAATTCATGATATCTAACTTGGCATTACTATTTGTCATGTTATCTAATTGGAAGTTGCAGGGGCAAAATCACAATATACTTTATGGTAAGGGATACTGCATTGGTTGCTTTCTGTTCTTCATATATCGAGGTTATACTCATCAATTTTTTTTTTTTTTTTGTGTTTGCAATCTGTTTTTCTGTTCTTCATAGCAACAATATACTTTACCTGTTATCAGTAAGTATTTGACTGCTTCCCCTTCATTACTATTCAAATATTTGAAAAGGAATCCTATCCTAATTTGAAAATGATATTCTATTTGTCAACCAATGCAAATACGTTTTAAATCTTTCAGGATTTTAATGAATCCAAAAAATCAGGAGTATATTACTCTTACCTTCTTTAAATTTGCATCTGTATTTAAATTCCTATTGCTATCACATAGTTTACCCTTCATTCTAATTGACAAAATATTTTTTCTTCCACGACTTCTGCAAGAAAGAGATCATATAAATTGAGGTTAGTCCTTCTTCAATCACTACTAATAATCATATGTTTGTAAACCTAATTTAATAGCAATATACTTTTACTACGTACTTTTCTGCGATTGTTTGCCTAATATTATTGTCTAGACTAAGAACATAGAGGATTAACACACACAAATACACACACCTGGTATTGAAAACACACACGTACACACACATGCAAATCAATATGAACTCTTACTCTGTTGGAAACAAACACACAATAATCAAGAAGTCTTATTGTTGTTATTTGACTCTCTCCATTTTTTTCACCTGGCATTCGTTTTCTTGACATTATCCACCACTGGAAGCACAAAGAAATACAAGGAAAAAAGGCATCGGGTTAGTACTTTGATGTATGTGTATCTGATTGCTTTTTATCTGTATGTGTATCTTGCATATGTATCAAATTTTGTATTTCAGTTAGCTTTTGAAATATAATATAAATTACTCATAAATCATAATTTGTTGTGTTGTTGTTGTTTGTGCGGTTAAATCACTTTATTTTACTTGCTGCCACATTTC